ACACCTGAAAGGTTCGTAGATGTAAACGTCTGCGTACAGCAGGATGAGATCGCATTTCATTCGAGTTATTGAGCATATTGCTCATTTTCTTTCCAGCTACAACCGCGATCAGGACGGTATAGAGTACTTAAATTACACTTATCACACTTAATGCAGTACGTCTGATTATCTGCCACCGGTGGAGATTGCAAATCTGTTGTCCAGCACCTTGATCATCGTTACCCCAAATTTTTCTTAGAAAATCACTGATCTTGATTCGAAACAATGGCAACAGGCAAGTCAGGCTGACGAAATTTTTTCAAAGAGATGTTTGATCTTATTTTTACTAGTAACGGTACTGCTGATAGCAGCAATTCGAGCTATACCGCTCAGACGACCGACGAGATCACAATGCCGTAATATCTGGACGCGTCCTTATGGTCAAATAAAAGAAACTCGTGCTTGTGGATGATGAATACACAAGTAGTACAAGCAGATGGACCAATGTCGTCAATGCATGCTGCGAGGAGTTCATTTGTTGACATTGGATGCATAAGCGTTGATCTATATATCCATTCAACAGTTGGTCCACCAATTCATACCGCTCACACTCGTATAGAATCTCTTTCGAGATTACCACTCCAGAAGTTCGTATGCCTGGTTTAGTTTTCCGTGCTTAAGCCCTCGTGATCAAACGTTGAATGTCAAGCGGGTCAGCGTTGTGAGTAATTGGGCCTTATGTGAGGGCATAACAGTACATGCGCAGACAAACGCTTCGATAAAGTGGTATCTCAGCTTTAAATGATTTGTCTACCAGGGCGTCCAGCCACACAGCATATTTCGTGTCTATTTTGAATATTTTCTAATTTTAATATTTCTACAAACAGGGTGGTGATGAAGTTGCTGTGCATCAGCGACGCATAATACACATATACCAAAGACGATCTAGAGCAAAGCAGGCGAGCTCTAAACTTGCATGAATATACTTTGTTACAATTAACCCCTGGTCCAAATCTGGATGGTTTCTATCTGCTGCTTTAAGCTGGAGAAAATCGATCGCGATTACGCGTTCATGATGAATGGTATATTCAAAAAATAAAGTGTGGATGACAAAGGATAAATCGTTACAAACAACATGCAATAGGTGATTAAAATTCAAATGAGCCAGAATGGAATTTCTTCTCAGTAGTGGTGGCTGCCTTTGTATCGCATATCAGCCCATTTAACATTCATTTAAGAGGCTCTGTGAGAAACGGTGCCAAGTCGACATGATTTGCACTAAATTTGTGGCGAGGTCAAGCCAATTCGTCACATTTTCTGGGACAGAGACACTGGCCATTCTACAAAATCATTTATCGTTGCAAGATCTGACCACACGCCATGCTTGCCAATGAAACCATAAAGGACAATTTATCGGTATCAACGAATCTTTCATTTATATCGCCAACTAGCATATGAAAACATGTACATTCAAGCACCGCTTGCAATAATTTTATGTAGCTTTCTCCATTCATCCTCTCATGATCTGCAAGACTAGAAACTAACATAACGTCAATAAGTTTTGTGTCTGACCGCGATGCAGCCGTTTTAGCTGCATAATTAAACGATTGAGCATTGCTGGTGCGTCGTACAGTCTCTGGGGTAATAACGAGACGAGGAACTCACTGTGGTAATGAAATCGTAATTAATTGTACCATCAAACATGTCGAAAGCACTGAGCAAAGCGCAACCGATCATGCTGTTCTGCAGCACATTCTTACTAAGAATTTGTGCCGTGCCGGACTATTAAGTGTATCTAGCTTATTATGACCATATTCTATCCGCCATTTGTCACCACTCATGATGACAAAGAAAGTTAGTGCCGAAGGGTGAGATTTGCGCTTCGAGCTATACACAAAAGATGTGTCTGTCGGACGAACCTGCATGGGAGTTTGACCCATCGTACCTTGCAGCCAAGAAGATCCATATAGAAGGGAGTTTTGAGCCTTAAAGAGATCACCCGTTCCTATTCAGTATAGCTGCATCACCTCTGGGACACCTGTATTGTTTCCACCCCTCGTGTCACAATCGACCCTGCTGATACGGAACCTATTCTCCGCAGTTAATGCGATCCATCACATCCTGGAAAGCGTCTAGACGAGCGTGCGAAATATTGACGCGTGCGGCACCTGATCAGAGACCTTCAACAGCGACAATAGCCGTTAACTCAACGCTTCCGATGGTGGCTGTGCCGTCGTGGCGATGTGAATCGACAACATTTGGGCATCGACCGTTATTTTTCTTCTTCCTTGACAGGTGAATACGATTTTTATTGCACACGGCGGTGCAAATATCCGCGCAATATGTCACAACATTCCATTTTTGCAAGACCTTTCCTTCAGATGTACTGCGCTTAGGGATTCGTTCACGCGCGCGGACTCCGAACTGGCAGACCAACGTGCTGTTGCTCACCTGGAATGCCCGGGAGACGATATCGCCAACACAGACTAATGGCCGAATTCGTGGCTGCTTCAACTTCAGTCAGTCTGAGAAATATAGATAGTATCGATTCTGCTCTTAAATGGCACCGTAGCGGTTTCACGGTTGGTTTCAGTTGTTATTTCACCGGCGCCTTATGGAGGCGTTCCTTGTGGTGTTCGAATCACCTGTGCATTCTTATGGCTTGTGAAAACTTAAACGCAAGCAGACACCACTTTCGGCTCTTGGTACCTTATCCCGTTTAGACCAAGGAATAACATCACTTTGCCAAACGTGTCTCTTAACTCCGGGACAGCTACTCTAGCAATTAATGATCCATACGGAGGATACGCGACAAGTACTAGTAAGCACAACGGTGGTTTCCATGCGCATTACGCAGATGATGTTTTGACTCAAATATTCCGCGTCAATTAATGCGCTGGGGATAGGTCGTACGCTCCACCAAGAACCAAGCATAAAAGCAACTCATTACTAGTGTTCTCTTTTATTCTAAAAGCGACACATGCTGAGGATGAGTCTTCTTGTACTTATGCTATATACGTTTAACAATTTTTGAAAATAGAACTGCATGCACTGGATGATGTGGGGTCAACACGGACCTTACGGCGTTGTTTCGAAACTTTGGTAATTCCAAATTGTGTGCTATTGTGCAAAATCGCAATGTGCGTACGCATTCTGGCGTATTCCGTTAGAAATATTCAATATACCCGTTTTACAAATTACGGTAATCAAACCCAATTAATGCGTTGCGCAGCCAAAACCTTTTCTGTAATGAAACCGCGTAACCGCAAACTCTTCCATGGTACTGCACTCATCATTATACTTCATGATGGTTCTCTATTTCAGTACTGGATGTATAAATAATGCTGTTGAACTCAGAAAATGATATATAAAAGATTCAAAGAGAATTTTTTTCAAACAAAAAAGACCTATTTATATTCGAATGGTTCATCTGGCACTCTCATATGATTCTCCGGTATCATATTTGGTCTTGCTCCCCAATAAACTTTCTGTGTCGCAGTTAATCAGATAGATTCAATCGACAAGCATCGTTCCAATTTCGGTTGATCCATGAAAATTGTCAATGTTTGCAATCGTGGACTCGCTTGATTGCGATTATTGCCTATATGAGAGCCAATTTGAGCATTGGAAGAAGCTGTCGTACCAAATGATCCAGTCGAATTACTGCCAACGTCTGGGTCTTGATTGTAAGAAAAATCACCGTTTAATTACTATGAGAAAAGCTATCGAAGATTGCGGGAATCATCGGTTTCTAACCTGCCCTCGTCTGTCATTAGTATTGATCTGCAAAGAAGGTTGTCGTTTTCATAGCTTGTGTCATTTTTACAAGACCATAAACATTTCAAAATTTGACCGTTTAAGGATCTGGAATGGGCGCAAGCACAAATAACTTCAGAAGATTTCAGTTCCTTGAAGCTTTGTACGCAGGTGCATGGATTTGGTTTGCGATTGATGAAAAGGGCTTAAGAACGCAGCCGGATATATGTAGCTTTCATATGGGAAGGAATCAGGGGAGGCACACGTCCCTCGCTTTTCAATATTTGGCAAAATTTGGCTTGACTGATACATCTAGGAGATGAAGCTGAGCCATTTTTAGAAGACGCCCACTTCTGTAGAAATCAGTATATGTGAGCAGCGATCTAGAAACGCCAGAATTATTCAATAGCTGTAATAAGATATTGAATAAAAAAGTCTCACCACCCATGTCGTCACCACGACTGGCTCTCTCAGGACAGCTGAACCCCTCGGTCGTTCAGAAATGCAATATTCATAAATAGTTCATTACGACAATTTCTTCTACGTGTTATTTGAATTGCACCGACACGTCTTTAACAAATTCGAGCGGGACAATCGAATTTTCAAAGATTGCAAGCTGTGATTTGCGCAGTGAAGACCAATACTAATATGCAGAGCGACAATCTGTTTAGATACTTAATCCTTCCACAGACCAGAGAAGGTGGTGTGGTGAAAATCTGCCATACCCTCGGAATTGGAAGCCAAAACAAAACTTCATTTTTCAATTTGCCCCTAAAATGGTGTCTGTCGTCTCCACTTTCATCGCGGTCGTTATTGCGTCGTTTGCGAATCCTACTGCGAGCCAAGTTCCCGACTTGATCGAAGGACAGTATTGGAAGCCACCTCTTGAAGAGACCTCGGGATTTACTGGTACTACAAAACCTTTCCGCCGCTCGCCGTGCCCTGCTCTCAATACTCTTTGTAACTGTGGTCATCTAAAGCGAAACGGCCAGGATATTACCAAAGAAGAGATTCGACATGCCATTCAAACGCAATTTGGCCATGATGATGAAGTCGTAGATCTGCTATTGTTGGGTTTGCCTGATAAGCTTTCGCTCAATGATTTGTCCTCGATGGGACATCCTATCTCACTCTCTCGCCGCCCTGAATACACAGGGGTCGATCCTGCCATAGTCGATCTGGA